TACTTCAGTTACATGGTATCTATCTTATATTTTCAGACAGTCCTGTTTCGCCCATGACGTCGTTGCTGCCTTTAGTGTTTGTGATCGCTGTGACAGCAGCGAAACAGGGCTATGAAGACATATTGCGATATAGAACTGACAATGTTGTTAACCGATCCCCGGGTAAGTGTACAAAATGTGTTATAATACATATGACAGTGTCTAATGTGCCAATTGTGGTCAACAGTAACGATCATTAAAAATGGCGAGGAGGCTATAATACAGTCGCAGAATGTGGCCCCGGGCGATCTGATCGTAGTCGAACGAGACTGTGATGTACCCTGCGATTTGGTCCTGCTGCGCTCAACCGATCCGCATGGCAAGTGCTTTATCACTACGGCAAATTTGGATGGCGAATCGAATCTGAAGACTCTGCTAGTGCCTAGGGATCTGCCAACAGTGCCCATTGAGCAGATGCACAAGCTAGGCATTATCGAATGCGAAACTCCCGGCACCGATCTATATAGCTTTAATGGAAAAATCGAGCTAGCCGGTGGCGAGGGACGCGTCCTTCCCCTCTCGGCCGAAAATGTGCTGCTCCGCGGGTCGCGTGTTAAGAATACAGAGTGCGTCATCGGCTGTGCCATTTACACGGGAATGACTACAAAGCTGCAGCTGAACAGTCGACTAACACGCAATAAGACAGCCTCAAGTGAAATCTACGTGAACAGATTTTTAATATTTATACTTGTAGCTTTAATAGCCATAGTTACCTTGCTCTATTTCCTAAAGAGGTAAGTACACACACAACAGTTCCATTCATTGTTAATTGCTTAGACAATTCGAATAGTTATGAAGAAATTCTTGGTAACCCAATCTCATAATGAATAATGTCTATTTCTGTAGATACAATGAGCTCTTTGTGATACCGAAGCTGAGCTACCTGGGACCTCCAGCGGATGGCTATAGCGTTAAACAGTTCTTGCAGGACTACCTGTCATTTCTCATACTGTTCAACTATTTGATACCCATTTCGCTCTATGTTACCATTGAACTTCAGCGCGTCATTGGCGGCTTTTTTATGGAGTGGGACACAGAGCTCTATGATAAGGAGGCCGATCAACAGTGCGTTGTGAACACATCGAATTTGAATGAGGAGCTCGGCCAGATCAATATACTCTTCTCTGATAAGACGGGCACGCTCACAAAAAATGAAATGAATTTTCAGCAGTGCTCAATAGCAGGCCATAAGTTTTCCTACAAGAAGACGCGACTGGAAGATTGTGAGACCAAAGCATTGATTGACATCAACAAATTTACCGTAGGTCAACATATTAACTACATATTTAAAGTTAGTTTTAATTTCATATTATCGCTGACTTCTAAATAATCTTCCAAAAAATTCATAAATATAAGGTCTATTTAGAACTAGGCCACTAGGGCGAGGGCTTCAAAGAAAAATAAATGATTATAGATGATGTCTCAATGATTAGTAGGCTTATATTTGATCAGTGAAATACGAATAATTTAAGGCTAGAACGTCTCAACAAATTTTGTAGCTTTCTTGGTCAACAAGAATAATTATTTGAAGTACCAATTCCATAGCGTCAGTAGTTTAAGGATGAACAGACTGACGCACAGATAAGCACAGGGAGATCAGAACTAGAGCAACTTAGCTATTTGAGTGAGTACACCAGCTGTCAACATACAATGTTGCAAAATATTAACTGGTACTCATTTAATGCTGTACAGGAAAAAAAGTGTGCTCATTTAAAATTGAATGATTCAATAGCCCTTTTGAAAAAAAACATGCAGATGTCTAGTACATATATGCCTTATGGGGAATGTCAAAAAAATATATATGTATGTATGTGTATTGATATATCGACTTTTACAATATGTGTTTAATAGAAAGACCAGAAGGTGTTCTTCCAAGCGCTGGCCGTATGCCACACAGTCCAGGTAGCAACTAGCCCGCCGGCAGATGTGCAGGTAAACAATAAGAATGAACACAGCAAGTCTGGACCGGCGGAAATGTACTCCATGACCGAAATCACCGAGGAGAGTCATAATTCAAGTCAGCACAGTGAGCTGAATGTAAGCAACACGATCGAAGCATCCGTGTCAGCACATCCGAACGGTGTCAATGCGACGGTGACCTCATCGGACGTGAATCCTCTGCTGATAGGCGACGACATCTATCAAGTGGAACGACGCAAGCGTCCGCAGGTAGTCAAGCGCAGCCCGAACTTCGCCCGATCCAACAAGGTGCATATTGCGCCCGCTGGCGAGATTGCCAGTGGCACCACAGAGCAGCAGAACGGTCATTCAATGGCTGGCACGCCAGTACAATTACCGCACCTGATGCGCCCCATATCGTTGCAGTTCCAGCGTTCTACCTCAGAGCGTGATCTGCCGCAGTATGCGGAAGCGAACAGTGCCTCCGCCTTGGGTCACAGGCGTGCCCATTCATACGGTGCTCCCAATGCGTATCTCTCCAATCCCGTCGGCAGTTTGACGCCACCGGTTGGCGGGCTTTTTCGCACCGCCAGTGCCACATCGCGTGAGTCCTATGCAGCGCCTTTATTCACACGCCAGCCCACAATACTTATACGTGCCGAGTCCCAGCGCCGCAAAAATGAAATTCAGCAAACATTGTGGTAACTATAAATTTGCCCCTGCTGCTGCTACTGCTCCTGCTGGTGCAAAAGCTAACTGTTTCCCATTTCGGTTGTATTGAATAGTTTGCTGGACTACCAGGCATCCAGTCCGGATGAGAAGGCACTTGTGGAGGCGTGCGCCTTTTTGGGTCTGGTTTACACTGGCGACGATGATGAGGTACTGCGTGTACGTATTGTTCCCCCACATGTGGACTATAAGCGTCCCATCAACAACAATAAACACAAGGAGGACTGCTTTTATCGCCTGCATGTGTTAGAGTTTACTTCGGATCGCAAACGCATGAGCGTAATTGTGCGCGACGAGGCTGGCAAGAAGTGGATCTATACCAAAGGCGCGGAGAGCTATGTGTTTCCTCTATGTGCGAACAGTTCGGCGGTTATGGTCTCCAAAACGGATAACCACATCAGCGACTTCGCTCGCTTGGGTCTGCGCACCTTGGCTATAGCCAGGCGAGAGATTCCCGAAATGGAGTACCAGGAATTCGTCACTTCCCTGGCTCAGGCTAATAGCTCACTGGAGAATCGCAAGCAGCTCTGCGAGGAATGCTATTCTAAGATTGAGAGCAGTAAGTCGACAATGTTATCTGATAATCAAACTACTATATCTATATTTTGACAGACCTCGACTTACTTGGCGCAACGGCTGTCGAGGATGCGCTGCAGGATGATGTGGCAGATACGCTGGTATCTCTGCAAGCAGCTGGTATCAAGATTTGGGTGCTCACCGGCGATAAAGTAGAAACGGCGCTAAACATTGCCCTCTCCTGTGGTCACATACCGCCCGACGCCAAGAAGTATATCATACTCGAGTGCAAAAGTCGTGACGATCTGCTGATTCACTTGAATGTTCTCGAACGCGAGATTGTCTTCGGAATGGGACGGGAGTGCGCTCTGCTCATTGATGGCACGAGCTTGGCCGTCGCTTTGGCCGAGGCGCCTAAGGAGTTCCGCGACGTGGCCGTCAAGTGCACGGCTGTGCTCTGCTGTCGCCTTAGTCCCCTGCAGAAGAGCGAGGTAGTGGCCCTTATTAAGTCATCCAATGAGAACTATACTACAGCCTCCATTGGCGACGGAGCCAACGACGTTTCCATGATCCAAGAAGCCCATGTCGGCATTGGCATAATGGGCCGCGAGGGCCGCCAGGCAGCTCGCTGTGCCGACTTCGCTTTTGCTAAGTTTTGCATGCTGAAGCGTCTGCTTCTGGTCCATGGCCATTTTCACAGCGTGCGACTTTCATTCCTGGTGCTTTACTTCTTCTACAAGAACATCGTGTTTATGGGCATTATGTTTCTATTCCAATTTCACACGTTGTTCTCTTCGTCGTCCGTCTACGATTCTCTGTTCCTGACCCTCTACAATGTGATCTACACGTCGCTGCCCATTCTCTTCATATCCCTAACTGAAAAGCCCTACACCGAGGAGAAGCTTATGCAGTAAGTATATGCATTGATTGTATCTTTTATAAGACGATAATCTACGCAATGGTATAAAGTTTTATTAGCGATCCATCTAAAAACCATCTCTCTACCCTAACCTAATACTTTAAACGGATTTTCATTTTGGTTATATATAGAGTACATTTTAGACTAATTAGGCAATAGTCCATCAAGACATATCGATAGGCATTGCAATACCTTAGAAACTTGAGTTGCCAAATTTTTATATCCTGAACCCATTGAAAACGGGAAATCAGATTATAATGGTTTTGTGAAAAGTATGTAACAGGCAGAAGGAATCATCGCGGACCCCATAAAGTATATATATTCTTGATCAGGACGACGAGATGAGTCGATATAGCCCTGTCCGTCTGTCCGTCCGTCCGTCCGTCCGTCCGTCCGTCCGTCCGTCCGTCCGTCCGTCCGTCCGTCCGTATGAGCAAAAGGATCTCAGAAGATATAAGAGCTAGAGAGCTGAAATTTGGCATGCATAGTCGTGTATACCATAGGCAGTACAAGTTTATCATAATTTTTCGATAACTCATCCGATAGCTTTTTTATCGAGAATAATCGAAAAATCGACAT